AACTCTCACACTCCAAAGTAGATAACTGAACAGACTCAAACAACTTTGGGAAAACACATTTCAAAGAACWAAAAGAAAGATGTCCCAAGCGATTGTGCCAAAGCATAATCTGGTTCACTGACTCTGACCCACTACTACTGTTGCTGCTAACATGAAGGCCCTGATGTCTCGGAATCTCATTCAAAAGGTAGACTCCATTCACCTCACGACCACTCCCAATCATCTTCTTTGACTCCAGATCCTGCAAAATACAATTACCAGGAATAAAGGTCACGGAACAATTCAATTTTTTTGTCAAAGAACTAACAGACAGTAGGTTGGTATGAAGTCTAGGAACATGTAAAACAAAAGACAGAGTTATATCATTGGTCACTCTAACTGTCCCCTTCCCAGCAATGGGCATATGTGAACCATTTGTTGTAGAGACTGTCTCTACCAGAGCACAACTGATAGGAACTAAAAATGGTAGGGGCATTAGTCATATGCTCAGATGCTCCTGAGTCTATAATCTAGGGAGGTCCTTCCTTACCTGAAGTGGATGCAAGATTTGCAGTTGTATATGAACTACCTATATGTGCAAAGGAAGTGGTGTAGTTGGCTCCTGCATTTTGCTATCCATCTGCAAGGCTAGAGCTAGGTCAATTTTTTCTTACTCATAAGCTGTCCAAACCTCTCCAATTTTGTTCTCACTACTGCTACTGCAATGGATTCCTAATTCGTTTGGGAGAGAGGAGCTGAAGAGTCTCCTATAATGGCTACATTTGCATTTCCCTTCTTGTTTTTTATCCGATCAGACATAAGATTTGGATGAATATTCCAACAAGTGTCCCTGGTATGCTTAGGCTTCTTGCAATAATCACACACCAAGTCCTTCTTATCTTCCCTTCTAGCCTCACTATTCCCCCTGTCTCCATTCGGCTTAGGTTTTGTTGTACCAACCATAGTCGACTGGTCAATCCCAGGTTGTCTCAGCATTACATTCCTCCTACTCTCCTCTCCAGAGACAAAGGCATAGGCCTGAGAGAGTGTCACACCCTCCCTAGAAAAAATATGCTGCCTAGCAATGTCAAATTCAGGGTTCAGCCATGCCAAGAACTCAAAAACCCTATTCCTCTCTACTAGTCTGTGATAAGTTGTTGCA